CTCCCTAAGATATCCCAGCCTGCTCTGATCAAGTCCCCAAGCAAGGCATCTCTCAGTGGCCTGACACAGTCGACAAGCAAGACTGACCTTGGAGAGTTGACCAAATCTCCCTCCAAGCCTGCTCTTGGTGGCACGGCCAAGCCTGCCGCTACCCACGACCTCGCTACTCTGTCGAGAACTGTTGAACTGAAGCGACGAATTGTGAGCCCTGGTAGATTCGAGCGTGTTAAGTCGATTTTGCGCGGTGGCAAGTCGCCCGCTCAGCCTGCAAAGAGTGCAATTCCTCAGCCTTTCACTGGTGTTTCGCAGACACCTGGTCCTCGAATCCTCGACAAGCCGCTCCCGGCTGTGCCTTTTACCACGCCGCGTAGGAAGCTATTCAAGCGGGTCGACTTTACGCCTGATAGCAAGGACACCCCGAGCAAGAGTCGCGGCGAGGTCAACTACCCCAACCTCGATGCTATTCTGAGCCGTATGAACGAGCCCGAGAGTCACGGCGCACCCAGGGAGATCAAGAGCCCGCTGCCAGCCTCCCCCAACAAGAGAGAAGAAAAGGCTCCTGAGGTTCCTACTGTTCCTGGCGCTTTCACGTTCCGTAGCGACCGCACTGCTCGCTTCGGCACTGGATCTCCTGCCGGCTTCGGCTCTTCGCCTGGACAGCTCAGTGTCCGACAGGTTCGAGCCTCGATCACTCCAGTCGAGGATATGCCCGGTAGTTTCCCGGAAACCGCCGACCTTCCACGGGCCACTCACACCAGCAAGACCCCGGTCAAGTCCATGACGGCTGGTATCAAGCACGGTCTGACCAACGAGAAGCGAGCGCGCACCAACACAGAGCCATTCGTGTTGAATAAGGAAGGTTCCACACCAGCTAAACTCGTCTTCGAAGGTGTACCGCACGGGCTGCCCAACGAGAAGCGGGCTCGCACGCATGTCGAGCCTTCTCACCCGAACAAGGAGAACAAATCGCCCGTCAAGATCCTCACCGGAGTTGCCCATGGTCTTGCCAACAAGAAGCGTGCCAGGGCCACCGAAGATGATGAGCCTGATGTCGACCAGGAGGGCGCCGACCGCGGTGGCAAGAGGCGCAAGGCTGAACCTGCACCCCAGCCTCGCATTTTGGGAACTCCCAAGCTGGCGCGCAGCACCCCGATTCCCAGTCCTCAAAAGGTGTCGGCGGGAACGCCTAGCCCTGTCAAGAAGCGGGCCGGCATCAGTATGAGCCGTTTGCACATGCTTTCTCAGCCCAAGCTGCGTCGCTGAGGGGTGAGTGTGTTGTATGTGACGTATTTGTACACAGTGGAGATGAGGATGTAGTGCTGCGAGCTGCCAATGCTGCGTGGTACCGTGCTGCCATTGTTCGGATGATCCTCAGAATGCGAGGCCAGGAGAAAGATAGTGGGCTTGTGCCTGTCAACAGGGTAGAAGCGGAGTCAAGGAAACACAGCACAAGAGACCACCAAGGATGGTGGCAGGCGTTTGATTTGCTGCTTTGGAAAAGCACCAGGCACGACCGGACATGGTTGCCCTGGCTTTTGTGCGGCTGGATGGGTTGTTTTTGCTTGCTATTATGAATTTGTAAGACTATCATGGGCCTCTGGAGGCTGGTGGTTTCAGGGTTTTCGCTTCTGGGCGGTGTTACGGACTGTTATGTAGGATCATCAAAAGGCTGAATCTTTTTTCTCCTATGAATGTCGTTGCTGCACTTTGCTGTAGAGTGTGCACCATGATGCGTGGCGACGCCGACGTGAGGTATCTCGGAGAGGGGACCTTCCTCTCCAACCTTGACAAAGTACCTACCTACCTAGGTACCAAAGGTACCTTGGGTACCTACCTAGTAGGTAGGTAGGTTGCACCTCGTCCAATGCCCACGTGGTATGCGGTCGAGATGCTTTGCCGGCAGGCGCATTGGAGGAAGACCGTAACACGGTGAAAACGTTGACGGATCTGGGTACAGCAGCTTACCCTCCATCCGCCTCGTCAGATCCGTCCAGCAAGGTCGTCCATGCCAATGTCCTACCTAGCACATTCGTGTATTCCATATTTCACTCGACAATCATTGTCGCCGCCACCGTCATCATACATTCGTTCTAGATACCATCAATATCGACCTTACCTCTCCAGACACTCGTGTTGGTAATGCCATGCCACCTCCTTATTCTTCTTCGCCATTATTCACATGCACCTTCTGCTGGCGCTTGACCGACGGTCCTACCCACGTCCTTGGCCGCTCTGCCCGCCTTACCTGCGAGTCATGCTACGCGGCCCTCATCAATCTCTCCATATGCTAGGTATGCGGCGAGATCGTGATGCGCGGGGAAGACTGTGTTAGTCTTGGATGGTGCTTCTGGCATCGGGCGTGCTACGGATGTCTTCTCTGTGGGAGCAAGCATATCGCCTCAGGAGTCAAGCTTGAGGAGCTTTTTGGGGACTTGGACGATGACTTGGAGGATAACATGGGAAAGACTAGGGGACGGGAGATCGAGGGGCCACCACTTTGCGCGCACTGTCTCGTGGAGGCCGAGTTGGATGGAATGGACGAGAGAGCGGTTGTGCAGAAGGGCTTGAGAAGAATGGATTGCGTGGACGGCGGGCTGGGGCGGACAAGATGGGAAGCCAGTCAGGGACAACCACTACCACTGAGGATTGGAAGCCATCAAACAGGGGCCCCAGTTGTAAGTTTGACGACAATTGCCACGGCTGACGATGGTTGAGTGCTGATGCCTCTCAGCCCGAGAGCCCTGCCTACCGCTCGCCCTCGCTGCGAGCCACAGGACAAAGATCCAGCATCACGAACCACGATAGAAACCAGCAGAGAGACGCCATCGATGCCATTGACCCACCAGATTCCACCATTTACGTGTCTATCAACGACCCTCTGGGCGAGCCCGCCTTCAAACCTAGCCCTACGAAGCCAATCCCACGCTGGATGCAGATGCTCCCCGGTAACCGTCGCCAGTACTACCCAGATGCGTCGCGACAGTCTACTCCTGTTTCCCCTTCGCGCGTCTCCTCGACATCAACTCAACAACTGGGTCCTCTTCCGGAACGGGCGCGAACATCCTCAAGCATCTCAACAGTTTGTCCTCAGAAGATATTAAACCCAGCCTCAACCCCGCCGTCTCTTTCTCCCAGAGTCTCTTCGTTGACAAGGACGTCATCTGGAGGCAGCATCACAGACTTCCATCCAAGAACTGTTGAGGATCACATGAAGCGTCACACACCGAGTTCATGGGTCAGCCACGAGCCCCTGAAACGACCGTCCTCGCGGATGGCCTACATTCAAGGACACCAGAGGACTGTGACGGAAGTCTCGACGTCTTCAGCCTACGCTACACCCCCGGAGTTTTCTTTCGAAGAGCACAACGAGATTGCTACTCTGCCATGCCGTCCTCAGCCTGGCCTTGCGGGCACTATGCCCAGCCGTCATGTTGCTTTCGATGAGCTTCCTGCACAGCTAACTCGAACCCGCCCCCCGCTCTCTGCGCCAGCCGTTCCTTCGTCCCACAAACATGACACCGTACGGCCAACGGCTCGTACCCCACCACCGCTATCTTCGGAGTATCTTGAGAAATATCGACCCATTAGATCACCATCTCCAAGACCTCTGACAATCACGATCAAACCGGCAGTGACGACTGAGGCGCAGAGAATAGAGAGCGTAGCAGCCACAGCCAGCTCGACGGAATCCAGTAGCGCCTATGGGCCGACAAATACCGTGCTGCAGCCCTCGCGTATTCAAGACACGGTCTTGCGGAGCAGGATAGCGATTCAAAGGGCTGCAGGTGATCAAATGCCCAACCCGGACTGCAAGAGACAGAGTGCTGTTGATGGTGCCGGCTCTATGCATTCCATGGGACCAGAACAACAGCCGAATATAAGAGACAGACGGCACTTACGAGATGAGTTGAGGCGGTTGTTTTGGGGAAGCAGCAGGGAACCCGATAGATGACTAGTACTAAAGAGTATCCTTTGGGCGGAACAGGGACTATTGAGCAATACGATTAGCCTACGAAGCGGATGCTACATTTGACGAGTGCCCCTGTTTAAAGTATGACGAGAAAAGTAAAACCTTGTTGAAATCAACATGATGCTATATTCTTGGCTTCAGCGAGATCGAAAAGGGTTATTGCGCTTAGTCATGCATAGCTCACAACGCTTATCGATAGGATGTTGAGTCGCTGTAGACGGCCGCACCTTCCTCTGAGGCCCATCATTGTCGCATCCCGCCTCACTGCACGTTCGTCCATCGCGCCGCTCTCAACCATTGTCTTCCACCAGTCTCGGGCCTTACTCGTAACTCTTGCGACAATCGAAGCCCAGAACCACCTCCAGCGCCTAGGGACCAAGGATCACCAACTTCCAGTCGCAAACAAAAGCACAGCCGCAGCGATGGCTCCAGTGGAAAACAACCCCCAAGAGCTCCTTGAGCGTTCGTCCCCTCCTCCCCGTGGCACACCCTCCCAAAGGCCTACCTCCTCATACTGACCCCCCTTCCACAGAACAGCTCAAGGACACGATCCAAGACCTCTACCAGATCATGCTCCAGATCACCATGTACACGACGACACCAACGCACTCGTCCCACACGGCCCTCACCTCGTCGCTCCAGACGCTCTCCGCCTCCCTGCAGGCCGTCCACACGACCGCCGTCGCCGGCGCCCCGCCGACCCCGGACGGCGTGCCGCCCAACGCCCAGGACCAGCTCGGCATGCCGCCCGGCGTGCCGCTGCACGACCCGGCCCGCCACGTCACGCCGGGCGCGCTGCCCAACATCCCGCCCGAGCTCGTGCAGTATGTCGAGAACGGGCGCAACCCGGACATTTACACGCGCGAGTTTGTCGAGCTTGTGCGGCGGGGGAACCAGCTTATGCGGGGCAAGATGGGCGCGTTTGCGCAGCTGAGGGACGTGCTTGCTGGGGAGATGAGGAGTGCCATGCCTGAGGTGGCTGAGGATGTCGCGCGGGTTGTGGAGATGACGAGTCCCGTCAAGAGGGAGGGTGCTTGATCTGAGATGCTAGATTGTAGAGGCAAGGGGGTTTGGGAGAGAGAACAGGCTGTGATGAGCGGACAGGAGGATACGATTAGGTTCGCAATGCCAGCTAGCCAAATTTGGAGCTCTAGAAAAGGGACGAGGCAGGCTCAAGGACTAGGCAGAGCGGAGGATATACCCATGGATGAGTACAGAGTAAGAGACAGCACTGTGTATGATTATGAAGAAGCAAAATGGCAAGTCGCTTTCCACATGGATTCAAAGCTACAGCGGCCCAGCCCGATCTGACGGAACCAGTCTAATGCGCGGATATGTCTTTCAAGGAACGTTCCCCCGGACCACCCTCCCCGAACACGGGACCGTAGTCCCGTGGCTCTATGGAAAAAATAAGGAAAATAGCAGACCAAAAACACACGAACCCTCGGAACGCCGCCGGTGATTATGCAGATGATAGAGGGTGGCCGGGTGGATGGTTGTGCGCACCAACGCGCAAAACGTCGTTGCCCCGGTTCGCCTCATTAGTTCCGATCCCGTCCAGGACGTCCCATGTCCCGATTGGACGCCGCCGCAGCGCCTCAGACCTGCTGTCGACGGCCGAGGTGCTGAGCGGCGCGCAGAGCAAGGTATACAGTTGCTGCCATGGCAGCCATCAGCACCAACAGTGACGGCGGGAGCAGCACGACTGCCGCAATCGCAAAGATGCCGTACTGGCGCAGTTTCCCGACAAGTTCGTCTTGTTCGTCATGGCGACGCTGCATGTGGTCTCGTAGCTTCTCGTGGACGTCGTTACCGGCAGGCTGCGAGCTGTCGCTGTCGCCATCGTCCTCCGACCCCGTCTCCTCTTCCTCGTCTTCCTCACCCTGATCAGAGTCGGGTTGTCAGGTGGAGAAGTTGAAGCCACGCCCGCTGAAGCCAGGGCGCTGGCGACCGCTGGACCCGTCGGCGAAGGAGAACGTGCCACCGCCGGGGAAACCACCACCTCCGGGGAACCCGCCGCCGCCACCTCCGCCGCCGCCCATGCCACCCATCATGTTGAAGAGCATCTCAGGGTCGATGCCGCCGTGCATGCCACCCATGCCACCGTGCATACCGCCGCCGCCACCGAACATGTCATTGGGATCCATCAGATCATCGCCATTGTCATAGGCCGCACGTTTTCTGCACAGGTCAGCACAAGCTTCTTCAACTTGACTATTCAGAAAGAGGAGGGGAAGACATACTGAGAGTCGCTCAGAGTCTCATAAGCTTCACCAATATCCTTGAAGCGCTCAGCGGCATGCTCGTCGTTGGGGTTCTTGTCAGGATGGTGAACGATGGCCAGCTTGCGGTAGGCCTTCTTGATCTGGGTATCATCGGCATCCTTGCTGATCTGGAGGATCTTGTAGTAATCCTTGCGCTTGCTCTTCTTCAGCTCCAGTTCGGCCTTGCGAATCTCCTTGGCAATGGTGCGATCCTCGGGGTCGAGCTCCTGGATTGATTTCCACTCCTTGACGGCATCCTCCCACCTCCCCGCAGAGCCCAGCGCATTGGCCTTTGTCTTGCGCGCCTTGGTGTAGGTGGGGTCCAGCTGGACGGCCCTCTCACAGTCGGCAATGGCAGCGTCGTACTCCTTGAGCTTTGTCCTACACAGCGCCCTATTCTGGAGAATCTTTGAGTTGGTACCCTTGTTGGTGGGGTCAATCTCGAGGGCGGCAGTGTACTTGTCAATGGCTGCCTGCCACTGGCCCGCCTTGTACTCGGCGTTACCTTCTCCCTTCATCCTCTCAAGCTTCTGCACAACCCTCAGCCACTTGACGGCGTCACGCATGTCCGGGTCGCAGCTGAGTGCTTTCCGGAAGTGGCTGATGGCCTTGTCGTTGTCACCCTGACAGTACAGGGCACGACCCCGAAGAACGAGCGCCTCGGGATCCTGGCTGTTGTTACGCAGCAGCGACATGGCAATGTTCTGAGCCTCGCCAAGGGCGTTGGCGGTACCCATCTTGAGGTGAGCCTCACCACGCATGATCTGCCACTTTCGAGGCTTCGGCGCGGTGTAGCCGAGCTGGCGCTCGGCCTGGTCGAGGGCGTGCAGGACCATAGAGCCGGCAGTGCCGCTAGCAAGAGCATTTTTGGCTGCAGTAATGTGGTGCAGCATCTCCTTGGCGGGCGCCATGTCCTTAGCAGAGGGCGCCGGCTGGATGCGGCCGAACGTCAGAACGGCCTCCTCAGGCTGGCCGAGGCTGGTGTAGATGCGCGCGAGACGCAGGAGAACCTTGGGATTCTGGCCGTCCAGGTCGACAGCCCGCAGGCAGTCTTCGAGGGCTGCTTCGTAGTTGCCGTTGGACATGTAAGCAGCGGCACGGTTGCTGAGATAGGTAGCCGAGTCAGGAATCATCTCGACGGCTGTTTTTTTTAAGAAAAAAAAAATTAGCATGTGGTTCTCACGCCCGAATTTCTAGGCAAATGGGACGGCATACCTTTGGAGTACTGAAGAATAGCATTCTTGTAATCCTTCTCCTTGAAGAACTTGTTGCCCGCAGCCTTGTAAGCCTCGGCCTCGTCCTCCGCAGTGGGGACAGGGCTGGAGGGGTTAGACTTGTGCGGGGGTGGCATGGGCGCATCTTCGTCGTTGCCATTCTCGTTGCCGTTGACGGCGGTGTTGATGTTGGGGATCGGGACGGAGAAGGCGGTTTGGGCTGTGGGCGTGGGCGCTGCGGGGGGTGAAGAAGCAGCGGCGCCGGTCGACTCGCGGTCGATGTCCATGGAGTTGCTGCGGCTCATGGCGGAAAGTGCAGAAAGTCTCTTTCTCTCTTCAGGGGGGAGGTTGAGAGGATGGGTATTGGGGTCGACCTTGTGACGGCGTGAATAGGAGGAGGAGGAGGATCCGGGGTCTGTGGAATGACGACCGAAGGGCCGAGAAGATCGCGATTTAGTCTCGCGCCCGCCAGGCGAGGGAGGCCTCGTGCTGCGTCTGGAATAGGTAGGCTTAGTTGGGGATTTGGTGGGGGAAGAAGACTTGGTGGGCGAGGAGGAGGCGGAACGGTGAGGTAAATTGTGAAATTCCTCTTCTTCGTGGGAGTTCTGACTGGTGACAGGTTTTTTGGAAGACGACGTCTTTTTGGCGAACAGCTTCATCGAGTCCAGCGCTGGAGACTTTGAACACTTCCGGTGGGTTCTGGTTAATTAGGTAAGGTGGGCGACTGGTGGTGGGCGAGGCCGATCCCGAATCATGCAGCGCCTCGCGATAAGGGTATTCCTGTAGGAGAGGTCGTTGGCGTGCGACTCTGATGTCGGAAGCCCGGTGCAGTACTGTGTGGGTGTACGGTCCTGTTTTTCCCCCTTCAGATTCTTTCTCTCTCTCTCTGTCTCTCTTTTGCTGTGGGACCAAATGTGTGATGACCAGGTTGTGACGCAAGGTAACGCCGATGCAGTCGGAATAGCTAAAAGTTCTGTTTCAAGAGTGTCCAGAAGCTGGAAGGAAAATGACAAGAAGTGAAGAGGAAAGAAGGGGACGGGGACTCGTTTGGCACGGACGAGCCGAGAAATTGCTGCTCGCGCCCTCTGTCTGCCTGGCTAGCCTGGGCCTGTCCTCTGAGTCTGCTGTCCCCGGTTCGTGCTCGGGTGCTCTGCGATTGCAAATGATGGCGCCAGGGCTGGGCTGGGCTGAGCTGGGATGTGTGCGTATGTGCGTATGTGCGTATGTGCGTATGTGCGTATGTGCGTATGTGCGTATGTGCGTATGTGCGTATGTGCGTATGTGCGTATGTGCGTGTGCGTGTGTGTGTATGTGGTTTGAGTTGTGGCTGTGACTGCGACGACTCGACTGTGTGATTGTAACGTTCAGGGTCCAAACGACAAATTATGAGTGAGAGGGAAACGGCAGCTTGCTGGAGGCGGCAAGGCAGCAGGGCCCGGAAGGGGGGGACTGCTCTGTACCAATGTCGGTTGGTTGCACAAAGACGCTGATGATGAAATGTATGCTGCTCCGTTTGCTCCGTCGACCGAAAATCCGAAATGAAAACTGGTTCCTTTTATGACATGAAAACAGCACAGACGAACACGAGACCAGATGAGACCAGACAAGACGGAAAGCAAAAGACAAGACAGCGCAAGGACAGACAGCTGGCTCTCTGCTGGGGTTTATCAGCTTTTGCACATCAGTCTGGACAAAGTTGCCTCCTGGTGATGTGCACACGGACTGCCAGGTTCATTGGGCGTCAGGGGGGGGGGGGGGGGGGGCTTTCAGTGGGCGTTGCGTTAGGTGACGAGAAAAAGTGATGGGCTGGGAGGTTTCGGGAGTGGGGTACTCGGTACATCTGGACCACCTGCGGCGTCGCCATTATGTCAGGTATCCTCTACATTACTGGTCAACCCCACGTAGAGAGTCAACGACGAGCCGCCGCCGCCAGAACCAATAGGCACAGAACTTGTGACCTTTCTCTATGCACAACGGTGGATGAGCACAAAAATTACAACCTAGTACTGGCTGTGCATGTGCATATCCTAGCCACAGATTTTTTTTCCTGTGTCTAGACACCCAATGAAGGACATGTCATGCTGGATGGCATCGATATCAATCAAGGTGAGCGTGAGGCTTGCCACAGGTGTTGCCAGGATCCCCCTTCTAACCTCCCCTCCAACTCAATATTGGCATGTCTCTATCGAGGCCTTTGTAGGAAACCGTCCCACAAGTGTGCTCCCAACTGACCGGTTCGAGAAGGTTCGGTGGGGCAAACATGCGGGATCCCTGCCGCCGTCCAGATTTTGCGGCGGCAAGTAGCACTCAGGGTGGGCGGCACCGGCATCGGGACCTAGCGTTGGCGGGAGGGAAGGGAAAGAGGGGGGGGGAGGGGGCCTCGCGGCTATGCTGTCACTCAACTGACTGCTCGGGTGCCAGTGCGCAGGCCTGCAGCAACTGCAGCAGCAAATCCCAGCCTCCCGTTCTTGTGGGATGGCGCGACTGACTACAGGTTCATTGGCATTTGCGGGATTGCAACAATGCCCATACTAGTTTTCGAATTACTACTCTGTCCCTCTTCATGTTGCTGTGCCGCGTAGAGCTTCGACTCTTGGTTCCTCTGGAGCAACATCCAGGACTCTTGACCTCCCATACCACTTAGCCGAGATTTCAACTTGTGATAACCCCTGCAAAACATCGTCTCCATGTCAACATGTGACGTACATGTACTTGTCCTGCTTTCGTTTCGACACAGGCACCTCTTTCCAGTGTTGTTGAGTGTTTCGTTTTAATGAGTCTTGGATCCTAATGTCTCGCCCCTCACCTAGGTATTTCCTCACAAACACCTCTTACCCCCTTTTTTGTCTCAACCCCGAATCCTAAATCCCCCGGCCCCCCAAATGATGCAAACCCTACTGCCACTTCAAGTCCCAGGTCTTGGTGCCAGCCCGGTAATGCACAACCTCGACGCCTGCGTCCTTGACGGATTCGGGGATGACCTTGTCGCCCTTGGTAAGCACGATCTTCTGCGTCGCCGGCTCAACGCCGTAGAACTTGCGTCCCCACTCGCTCAAGAAACCGCGGAGAACTTCCTCGGTCACCTGCTCATCCTTGATGTCCTCCCGCGCGATGCCCTCCTCCAGGGCCGTCAGGATGTACTGCGAAGCGTGGGGTTGCGTGAAGACACCTGCCGCCGCGCTGCCCTTGCCCTTCTTGGCGCTGATGTCATGCGCTGCATCTCGTTAGCATATCAAGTCCAAAAATCACGTCTTTCTTTCAGAGCAAGGGGGAGCAGGCTTACGGGCGCTGTCGGTGCCGAGGAAGAACTTTCCGTTGCTCGTCACGAGCGCGTTGAGCAGAGCGCGCCGGTCCTCGGGCGACTTGGCCACCGGCTTGCAGTAGCAGAAAAACGTCGCCGACGGCCTGGTCGATGACGAGAGACAGTGTGGGCTGTGATGGTGCCGGCGACGGTGGGGCCGCAGCTGCGCACCGCCTCGCAGGCGTCCGCCGTCGTGACGTGCTCGAGCACGATCCTGAGCTTGGGGAACTTGGCGTGCACCTCGAGCAGCGTCGGCAGGAACTTGGACTCGGCGTTCATGACCGACACGTCCTTTTGCGTGTTGTTGGGCACCTCGCCGTGGATGTTGAGCACGAGGCCGACCTCCTCCATGGCGGCAAAGGTGGCGTCGTAGGGCTCGTAGCTGACGACACCGCCGGACGAGTTGGTCGTCGTGCCCTTGGGGTACGACTTGATGCCGGCGATGCCGGCCTTCTTGGCCGCGCGGACGACCTCGGGCGTGATGCTCTCGTCGAGGAAGAGCGTCATGAGGTAGTTGACACTGTTGTCGATGGCTTGGAGCCGCTCCTTGTAGGCCAGCGCCTGGGCGACCGTGGTGACGGGCGGGATCAGGTTCGGCATCACGTAGACCGTGTCGACGCCGCCGTCGCGAATCGTCGGCACGACAGCCCGGCTCATGTCGCCATCACGGAGGTGGACCTGGGCGAGCTCAGTCTTGCGGCACGCATTCGGACCGAGGGGTGACATACATGGAAGTCAGCCGCGGCGGGGAAAGTGTATGTGTCCTTCATGGCGGGGATTGTGCTTCAATTGACCGTTGTCGCACGAATTCGTCTTCGATAAGTGTCAATTGAAGCGAGCAATGGCGGGGTGCAACCGAAGATATTTTGCGGAGGTTGCCCCGCGGTTACGGGATGCAGATAAGACGATAAGAGCATCGATGGTGGGGTAAATATGGCCAAAGCAAAAGTATTGGCAAAGGCAACAGAGGCGCAACACATTGTGGCATCAGCAAACCAAACCCTGTACAAAATACAGATACTTGAACACACCCTGCAAACTCCGATACCATGACTGCGCATTACTTATATCCATATCCTCTGGGCGATGGCCTCTCTGAATCCTGCTTCCTTGAGAGTGCCTTCGTCCCACGATTGCTGGTACAGCTCCAGTGCCCGCCCCCCGCCAAACAAAACGAAACCGCCCCCTCTCAGTTCTCAGACGTCTCTGCCGAAGCCGCCTCTGAAGTACCATTATTGGAGCCCATGACCGAGTTGACGAATTCCTGGTACCGGAAAACCTCACCACGCTTGCCTAATCCGCCTTGCATGTTGCGGCTGAATGCCCTTCGCCCGGTGAACCCTTGCATGACCTGATCAACCTCTGCCGGTGTCAGCGCACGCTCGCCCGGCTCGGGCGCCGTGTTGAGGAGAGCATCGCGGAGTTCGGCCAGATCTATCTGACCGCTGTCATCGTCGTCAAACGCCGAAAAGGCCGACAGCAGCTCTGCCTGGGGCGAGAGCGTCGCCAGCATGGCGGCTAGTGTATTCAGAAAGACGGCCATCGTCATCGTCTGCGGAGCCGATGGAGGAAAGAACTTGGAAACGTCGGAGGCGTTCGCGGGTAGTCCTGCATGACCGTCAGTCTCGTGGACAGAGGGTAAAAAAAAAAAAAAAAAAAACTGCTTCCGGAGCGACGTACCCAGCTGTGTCAGCATATCGGCCACGTCCTCCCTGTTGACGACGCCATCACTGTCCCGGTCCAGGATCTCAAAGCCCTCGCGCAGCGTTCGCACCTGGGTTGGCTGCAGCTGCGACAGGGCGTTGCCGTTCATGGCGGTCGTCTTGACAGGCGACGACCGGGTGGCGACCTTTGGCGATGCCTGCATGTCGACGCGCGGTGGAGTCTGGGGGAGTGCTCTTGGCGTCCAACTGTCGGCAGTGCGGGTGGGCGTCGTCGGCGGCTCAGCGAAGCTTGACCGGCTGGTGCGAGAGGGTGTTTTTGTGGGTGATGCTGATGGTGTTGTCTGTCTCAAAGATGGGCTGGAAGGTGAGGCGGGCGATTCGGGGCGACGGAATGGAGAGCTGCGTGGAGACCCATATCCCAGTGGAGAGGGTTTGTAGCCGGCGACAGGCGTGGCCTAACACATGGAGACGAGGCAAAGTCAGGCCTTGGACGATTCGCAGGGGAAGGAGGCTCAAATCCGATGTCTCGGGCCGAACATACCATGGCTGTGGAGTTTGCGGGCGCGCGTGTGTGATTTTACTCTGGGAGGGAGCAAGTGCCGTGTTGTCGGTCGTCGATCGGGACCTTCCTGCCAAGACCGGTGACGACAAGAAGAGGACGCAAGGAGGGGAAAGCAGGCCGCAGATTCTTGGTGACAAACAGTCAATGCTTCACAATATGGAGCTAGGCCGTTGAGAGCAGGAGCGGTACGGTACTTTTCTTTCGTTGCTTTGCCTGTCGTTCGAGAGGGTTGATGCAAGTCACGAATGATGCTGTCTGACGTCTTGGACCGGCGAATGTTGATGGCTGTGGATCGTGGCTGACGGAAAGTAAACAAGGGGCGCTTTCCCCAGACAACGACAGCCTCGTTCCCCATCGGCATGTGTGAAGTGGGCCGTGGCTGGTGTGCCCTTTGATGCGGCGCTCACATGGCTCCTCGATTGGCCGGGTGGGACTCGTTTCATGTCTGGACCCTACCAGCGCGCACAAGGCGCTAAGCGGCTTTCAGCCTTGACAAGCAGGGGCCATGGGAACCAATCGAGCCAATCCTGGCCGTGACTTGGGAAAGGGGGCCAGAAATGGGGGGCTCGACGGGCTCAAAGGGGAGGGGGATTGGAAAAGGAGGGGGGGGAGAGAGGACCTTGCGAGACCAGCCGACAAGCACCAGACGTCCATCCCATTTTACTCCATCGACGGCCGCACCGCACCCACCATTCTCCGTGTCGAAACCCCTGTCCCAACTCAGGAGGTGACCCTGACCGACCCTTGAGGGCGCTGTGTTTCCGGCATTTTGGGCTTTTGGGCCTCCCTAGGGTGCGTGCTGCTGCTGCTTTGCCGACAACTCGACAGCCCGCCCACCTTCGAAGAGGACCATGTCTCGCCCCAGATCCTCAAGAGCTTCCTGCGCACCTCGTACATCCCACTAACAAGAAACCCGCCGCATTGACACTTGTGGAAGCACCGTTCAGCGCTCGAAGCTCGTCTTCTTGGAGCCCTCGTTCAGAGTCTGATCATTTCGGAACCGAACCCACATCCACTGCGTGGCTCCTCGTGGCTCCTCGTGGCTCCCCGTGGCTCCTCGCCGACTTTCCGGTACATCCCCTCTTCTCACTTCGGGGACCGACCTTTAAGGGGGGAACACGCCGACCGAACACGTCTTTGCGATACCGCGCCCGCCTTCGCTCGTCGCTCTCCCCCCCCCATTCCTGTCGTGCTGCCATTGTACGTCCCTGTGCATGGTCACAAATCGACAATCTACCCGCACGAACAAGCACAGCTGCCAACGCTTTCAACCGAATGGCTGTCGCTGCCGCCTCGCCCACCACCACCTCAGCCTAGTCCGGCCACTTACACAACCGCCGGCGATATACGATGGCCTCAACAAGCGCGGCCCTCCCCTTCCTGACCCGCGCACCCAGTAATACTCAATTTCCTGGTCCCAATGGACCCAATGGCCCCTGGCCCAGTCGTCGAACCTCTCTCTCTAGCTTTCCCGCCTCGCGCTCTCCCTCGCAAATGTCTAATCACTCGCGTCCTTCGCGGTCGCCGCAACCGCCCATCGCAGAGATAGACCGCTCTTCGGACCCCAGCTCCAAGTCCAAGACTCCATCGACTGGCCTGTCCTCCCAGCACTCATCCCTTTCGGCGCCGCGCCGCTATAACCCCGATGCGCACCCGCCGCGCAAGTTGCGCTCGCAGTACCCACGAGGGTCCACTGAGAACCACGTCGAGTACATTCTGGTGGCGTCATTCGACATTGACCGGGGCCCAGTGATGGAGCATCAGTATCCTGTGGCGATCACAGGCGACGAACACATGCTTGCCGAGCTCATGTTGCCCGACCAGGCCCATGTGCGCAACCAGGACTGGACCATATTCTTCCTGCACAAGGATACGAGCCAAGAGGAGGAAGACGAGGAGCGCAAGAGGAAAGAAAGGAGGCGTAAGAGGAGGAGGAGAAGACACAATGAGGCTGCAGGAATCCTTGACGAAGAAGACGAGGACGGAGAAGGGGACGAAGAAGACGATGAAGAGGAGGATGACGACCTAGACGATTTTGACGACGACGAATCCACCGACAGCGAGCCAGAAGGTGGTGAGGGTCCGCCACTCATCCACGTGCTCAACCTGGTCAACACGAAACAAGACAAGACTGTCAAGCGAGGCGCTGTTGTCAAGGCCATGGCGATTTGCACACGACACCCATTTTTACACATTTACAAGGTTGGACACGTACTCTCAGGCCAGACTGAGTTCGCTTTACTAATCAGCTTCTTAGCCTTTGTTACTGTTGGCTCTGGAAGAATACTTCAAGTCGCCTGTCCCAGAGACATTGTCCATGCTGTATGACGCGGTCAATGCGATGGACCTGTCTCTCATGCCCAAGCTCAGCTTGTTGGAAAGACATCTTCTGCTGGCCAGCGACAACAAAGATCTGTTTGTGGAAAAGTTTGAGCAGATGATCCAGATGCGCCTCGCTGAGGACAGGGGCGAAGAGCTCGACGACGACCAGCCGTTCGACGTGAATCGCAGCCTCTCAAAACAGCAGGGCATCTCAAGAGCCGGCACCAAAGCGTACATTGAGGGCCAGGGCCAGATGCAGGCCAAGTACTCGGTACCAAGAGACACACACGAATTCGAGAGCAAGGTTATGTATAAGGGAATCCCGATTCCGATCAAGATCCCCGTCGCGGTCATGCCTGAGACCGTCGGCGACTTCTCCTTGATCAAACTCATCCAAAAGTTTTCTGAATCACATGGCAAAGCAGTGCAGCCATTCCCACTGCACGCACACTTGACGACCAATGGTCCAAACACGCACCCCATCATCGTTCTCGCCAATGCCTTGTTGACGCAGAAGCGCGTCATCTTTCTCGGCCACAACTTGCCATCCGGAGAGGTGGCCGAAGCTGTGCTTGCAGCGTGCGCCTTGGCTTCGGGCGGCACGCTACGGGGCTTCACCCGACACGCTTTCCCTTATACGGATTTGACCAAGATTGACGATCTGTTGAACGTCCCTGGCTTCATCGCCGGCGTGACAAATCCGACATTCGAGCTGCACCCCGAGTGGTGGGATGTTCTGTGCGACTTGCCGACGGGCAAGGTCAAGATCAGCAGCAAAATTGAGCCCGCGACGGTGACGGAGGGCATGGTATACTTCCAACAGCAGAATCCGTCCTTCGCCGGGCTTGTTGGCGGCACATCGAGAATCTCGGCCGAGACAGATTTAACAGGCGATCAGGCGTTTATGCAGGACATTTTAAAGAGCATTGCCGCGCGGCGTGGTGAACGGGTCATCCGCGCAAAGTGGCGCGATTGGGTAATCAAGTTCACACGAATCGCAGCCGCCTTTGAGGAGGGCGTATATGGTGCTAGTGCCCTATATATCGGTGGCGATGACTTAGACATGGGCTCCACGGGGGTTAATGGGCACGGCTACGTATGGGTAGACGAGCCGTCGAGACAGAAGGAACTCGCAGGCAACGTGACGAGGATCGAGGGTTGGCGGAACACGCGGAGCTACTACAGCTTCATCCAGGTAAGACCACTGAACACCATGCTGCTGGATTTGACTGACACAGAAACGCAGGACCTCGCACAAATATATACAATCCGCCCGCTCAAGGGTCTGGACCTGCATCACATGCACGATCGTCTACGAACGCAGCGCCTCAACCCGGCGCAGAGCCGAGAAATCTACATTGCCTTTTCAAAATACATCTTCTCTTACGACGAGATCTGCCTCTTCCTCAGTGTGGCGCCCGAGTCACACGCGGGCTTGTTCTACCTCGCACTGGGCCTCTTCCACAAGGACCGCGAGGTGCGCACGCGAACGGCGGACCTGTTGGAGCGCATTGGCGAACACGAGGCTGGGCAGCACTGGTGGAAGGGACTCAGCAGATTCGAGAAGCTGGCGTACATGCGCATCCGCCGCGAGACGGACGCCGACATGCGCACAAAGCTGGAGAAGGAGGGGCTGAGTCCGGAGCTGGAGAGGCGGATTAGCTAGGCGCTGTCCAGGGGTTCATCCACCACCAGGTCACGGTCCGGGGCGTCGTCAGCCGCCACCACGCGGGGGTCGTCATCCACAGAGTCGTCGTTGCGGATGCGACGCCCTCTCGGGCTGACAGCTTCCTGAACGTCTAGAGCACCCATTCGCAGGGGTGGTCGCTTTCTTTCTCTTGGCGAGTTTTCTGGTCGGATCATGGGAGGCATATTTTCCACGAGTTTTCATGATGGGAGGAGGGAACGGGATGGCACGGGAAGGAACGAAGGCATGAAGAGATATCACCTTGGGGCTCATCACTAGCACATTGCATTGCGCGCATCCCATACCAAGACACTGCGTTGGCTTCTCTGGCGTGTCGCTAGAATTTATACTTTTTTGGCTGCTCTGCCTCTCTTACTACCCGCTTCTCCCTCCCTCGTCAACAGCTACACGCCGAGGAACTTGGCGGCGTGGTTAACGTGGTCGTGCTGGAAAGAGGCCATGAAGAAGTATGAGTGGTCGTAGTCCTGGGACCGTCAGCTGCAGATTCGCATGAGGGGACATTTGACGCGCGAGGCTCACCTTTTGGTAGCGCAGCTCCAGACCGGACAGACCCGCCTCCTTGACGGCGGCCTCGAAGTTCTCCGGGAGGAGCTGGCCCTGCTTGTAAAAGTTGTCGCCCGTGCCCTGCGCAAGGTCAGTGTGCTGTCGTCTTTATTTACTCTCGAGGGCACAGAAACGAAACCCAGACGAGCGAGCAGGGGGGCTGGCTACTGACAACATCAATGAGGGCGTTCAGGGGGCCCTTCCAGCCCTTGACGAGCTCGGTGGCATCGTGCTTCTTCCACTCGTCGACGTCGTCGCCGAGGTAGCCCTTGAAGGCCTTCTCGCCCCAGGGGCACCTGCTCGGGTTGGCAATGGGCGCAAAGGCGCTGACGCTCTTGTACAGGCCCGGGTGCTTGAGGTACAGGGTCAGGGCGCCGTGGCCGCCCATGGAGTGGCCCGTGATGGAGACGCGCTGGAAGTCGATCCTGTCGGCAAAGTCCCTCTCGAGGAGGCCCGGCAGCTCGCGGACGAGGTACGTCTCCATCTTGTAGTTGTCGGCGTAGGGCGCCTTTTGGGCGTCGATGTAGAAGGAGGCCGCCTCGCCAAAGTCGTAGGCGTCGTTGGCGCCGGCGATGTCGAGGCCGCGGGGCGACGTGTCGGGGAGGAGCACGGCGATGCCCCGCACCGCGGCGGTGGACTGGATGAAGGACTTCTCCGTGGCGTTGTCGGGCGTGCAGGTCAGGCCGGAGAGGTAGATGAGCAGCGGGACGGGCGACTTGGCGGACGAGGGCGGCAGGTAGAGGTTCAAGGCCATGTCGGTCTTTGTGGTGCTCGAGGCGTGGGAGAGCTTGAGGAGCTGGCCGCCGAAGGAGGCGATGGTCGCCTTGGTGGTGAATGCCATGATTGCGGTTGCTGAGAGGAGACGTGGGACGATGGCAGTACTTTGCGCTTCGGTTGCTCGAGAGGATCTCTGGGATAGAACCAGGAACTGAAGAAGCAACTTGAATGGTTGGGGGAGGGGAGATGTAGGAGGAGAGAGGCTTAAGACTCCGGAGCAAGACCGAGATATCTCCAGGGCTGTTTGCTGGGCGCATCATCGGGGGGAGCTCAATCAACCCCACCATGGAGCTCCAACACCCCGCACTCGCGAGCCCGAAGCGTCATTGTGACGGGCCAGGCCGGCAATTGGTCTTGTTCTGCCGCAACGCGGTTCCGAGGGCATGGAACGACAGTGTCCTCTGGATCAGAATTACTTCATAGCCTTGTACGACTACGGTCCAACCAAGGAGTGAGCGCTGGGAATCACACATACGATCTGTGTCGGAGGAGGGGAGCAGGTGAGCGCGGACCAAGGATCAATTGTCCCATCCCGAACCAGCCTAGGACGTATTGTGTGTGTAGTAACACAACTGCCGAAATGAATGTCGCAATGCTGTTCGATGCGAAAAGACTTTGTGACTGCAGGAACGTTCACTCTGTGTCGCTGCCTCGAAAATTATGTAATGTAGTCAGTTTGATTTCTGTCAACAGCTGAACCCCGGGTTTTGTTATTCAGTTATTTCTAAACAGGTCTCATTCCAGGCACCGCCAGTCTGCGTCTCTTGGATCAAGACTGCGTAGTGTTTGAGGTGGCCAAAACAAAATAGCATGCCATCCGCGACCAAGCCAGTCAGATCCAGTCAAACTCTCTGACAGGTTTGATTATGACAGTTGCGTCATGCCAAGGTTTTGGGTAGTTCAGTCGACTACTGTTGATGGTCAAACACAGCATGGAGTGTGAGAGCTCCCCTGTGACGAGCGACGCATGCTTGCCTGTCCTCTAGTCTGCACAAGTCTAGAACATATGATGGCGCTGATGAAATGCTGACCATATTCATACTTGTCCCTCAACTCTGGCTGTTCGCGCCGTGTGTTCGCCTGGGCTCTGCACCCGCAAATATGCAACCTGGCCAGACCTGAGAGTCCACAGCCAGGAAGCTGACTGCTCGAACGACGCATCAGGCACTACCGGCTGTTGGAAATCGAGTCTCTTTTATCCTGAAACGCCGCGCTAAATTCATATGACGGCACCGTCGTCCCTGGGAAGTCGCCTCAGCAGCCCGCAACGTAGCTCGAGCCAGCTGCGTCTGATGCACCTGCGGTAGGAGACTGGGCGTATGGTTACTCCCCCCCCCGAGCTGGTCCCCTGCCTGCCATCCCCCATGCATGTATCGAACCTTTTGCTCACTGGAGCAGCTCTTCGCAAGTCCAATCCTCGTAGCTGGGAGAAAAGTAGTCAGCAAAACTAGCGTCTGCCGAACACTAGAGGCAAGGCTCACTATCCGTCCGGCATATACCGGCGCACGATCAGGGGGATCTTCTTCTCGCGGAGCTCCTTGATCGCAATCTGCAGAGGATCCGTCTCGCCCTCGAGATCAACCAGCACCGGCGCGTTCATGCTGTCAAGGCCTGCGGTCAGTCCGAGGCGCTCCCGTTTGTGCATACGGCCTGGAGGTTCGTGGCCTACCTGATCTGCAGCGCCCGCGTGCCGAGAATGCGGGCCTTCTCGTACTTTGTCATGTAGGGCGTCGTGGTCCGCTGGTCGTCGGGGATCTTCATGTCCTTGTGCGATAGGGTGCTGTTCTTGGCGGCAGCGGCCGCCGCTGAGGGGTCGCCGGCGTTGATGATGTTGTCCTCGCCATCCTCCTCCTCGTCCTTCTTCTCGTCTTCTTCGGGGAACTCGTCGTAGTCGAACGCCTCGTCGTCATCGAAGGCGTCCTCGCTGCATGCTGGGTTAGTTGTATGTCGCCCGTCGAGAAAGACGCGATGGCTTGGAGGGGCTAGACGTACTGCGCCCCCATATCGTGGTCATCGCCCATGTCAGACATTTTGGAGGTGATTCGGCGGGGGTGTTTGGCGCGTGGGTGAGTTGGACGTGCTTTGTCGTAAATCGGTCGTGATAGGGAAGGCCTGATCAATGGAGTCGTGAAAAAATATTGAATGCGAGGCTGCCCTGCAGGGATTCCCGCAGTTGCCTTTGTTTTCCGAAGGACCTACCTTAGCGTGGGACCCATCTGGGCCGGGGTTTTGCCGGGTCACAACTACACGATAAGGCTGGTTGACGCGATCTGAAAGTGTACATCGCTAGGAAAGCTACTACTGCCATGGTCCCATAACCATTGAACTACCACCCTCGTCTGCTCACTCGGAATCGTTATTACCTGGCAAAAGGGTGCCCCCGCGACGCAATCCACTACACCTATTCTTAACCACATATGCTCACTTACAGTGACTTGAGTCTGTACCTGAAAACTCTACCTCGCACAAGTACCCAAGTCAAACGAGGGCCATGGGGTATGTGGAGATCCACAGTACCGAATCTCAGTACTCCCTAAACGCCCTGCCTGCGTTGATCGCTCGACTGTCGATCTCTCAAGATGCTGTCCAAAAGCTCAATCTGCCTCCTCAAGCTTGTGACTACTTGATCGTCATATTTTTCCGACGACTTTACAAGCTGAGGAAACGTGTAAAGAAAGGTGGCCGTCGCGGACGCAACAATGTAAAAGACAAGTACTCCCAGCGAACCGCCTTTTCCCAGCTCGGATATCAGGTTGTCGGTATACGTGCAGCCCAGATAGATACCCAAGCCAATGACAAAGGCGTTCAAGGATAGTGCGAGGAGGCCCGACGGAGCCGAGAGCAAGATGGCAGCCAGCGCTGAGGCCTCCCGGGTCAGACCCGGCCTGGCTGCGCCGTTCTCGGGTTGGACTTCTCGCTCAAGCGGCACCGACAACTCCGTGTCAACCAATGCCGGGTCTTGATATAGCTGGTTGGCTTTCTCTTGCAGCTCTGCTTGCGTGAGTGGTACGGAGAGCCAATCCGCGACGCCGGTCGATCCCAGGAGGCCGTTGAGCTCCTGCTGGACTATGAAACTGACGTAGACGGATATGACGCCGAAAGCGATGCTCGCAGTAAGGAAGGCCGAGGCAGTCCAGTGCGCCTGGCTTCTGGCCTCCAAGGACAACCCCGTGATGGCTACCTGCGCAGTAATGGCGCCCTGGAATGCAGTGGTTGGAATCGCTTTGCGTCATTCAAGCTTGAGCTGGTGGGGCACTTACAGCCACGGCAGCCATGTTCATATTGGAGCTCAGCGACTGCCGATACTCCGATATTTCTGATCCTGTGCCCGACAGGATTGTCTCGATGCGGTCGAGGGTCGACGACGTGTCAGGGAGCACAGTGAACAAAAGTGTCGTGAGCATGCCGTTCCTGCGATACACTCGGTACAGGCGCGCGAATCTGCCTGTCACTACCCTGGTGACACGCAAACCAATTCCCACCATGGCAATAGCGTCCGCCATTCAAAGACACTCGTGGGAATGTTACTCTCTTTGATTTTTGCGGCAACCTGCCAACCCAAATCACCACGAGGTGGGGTTGGGCACACATACTTATAGCCGCTCAGCTGATGAACAGTCATGTGAGAGGCTCTTCCTGTGGCCAGGCCAGAGGCTGCGTGTGGCTAGAGTGCCTCCCTCATTGCCCCGGGAGGCCCTGGCCCGCCACCTAAGGTCTGGCGATAGTGATTCTCGCGACACCGCGAAGGAACCAATGTTTTCGGGTAGAATGACTGTCGCTTTCATTTGCCGCTTTCCTTAAACTCAGAAACGTCTCCGAACTTCATCTGTACACTGGCACAGCTCATCGCTCGCTCACATACATGTAGCGTTTCTACAAGCCGGCCACGAGTACCAGTAGAACAGAGCCTAGTCAATACTCCGGGGGACTACGAACTTGCGCTCATATCTATAGTGTGGCTGCTCAACACACTTTGGGGGTTTCAATTGCAATTGGTCTATTCGCCGGTAACACTGACGCCCAACAGCCGGTGCCTCCACGTCCAAGTGAGTCCGTCTGAGGGCCGGCTCGAAACAAATAGACTGACGAACAGGAAGCTGAGTTGCAGATTCAAAAATGCCATCAAAGCAAAAGTTGCCACAAAGGTCATGATTTCATATACAAAATCCTCTTCATCAGACGTCGACAGGACAAAAGCGCCAAAAAGCCAGACTGCAGGAAGCAAAGACACGAACAAAAGCTTCGAACCTGCTCAAGCCACGACTAACTTGCTGTTGCCACTACGACATCAGCGTCTTTGTCGCGCTTTTTTCGAGAGGATTGCTGAGAACTTTTGCGACTCGGCGTGGTCACCTGAATCTCTGACGTGTCTGACAATTCTGCATCTCGCATCTCGGTATCGTGATCACAAGTCTCTTCTACCGGATCACGCTGGATCTCCTCCTCCTAGCCAGTAATCAGTCAGCTGCCAGTGTCGACAACGCATCTTCGCCCCCAGAGGTAATGGATTTGCACTTACCTTGTCGTTGCTTGTAGCATCAGCTGACGTCCGTTTGGCTTTGGGAGTTGGAAACAAATTTTCGTCAATGGTCCTGGTAGTTTCCCAGAAAAGGGGGGTCCCCTTGAGATCTCTCTCCATGGTCATCCACACGACCAAGGCAACCAAGGACAGGACGGAAACGGGGTCCGGAAAGGTTACATAGGACAGATAAAGGCTCTGCAGCAGGGCCACCCAATGCCACCTCCATGGCATGAATGACGTCGCTACCGATACGACATTGTAGACAGCAATATCCCAGGGCTCTGGATTGATGAATTGTCTCCAGCGCTTCGCCCGCTGCTCGTGATCATGCACGGTCTCGGTCTCATCGCATTGTGGCCGCCTGTTCAAGCGGTGCTCCCAGAAGCTTTGTAGCTTATGGCTCCGGTCCCACGGGTTTGCTTCGCAGAGAACAGCCCAGCGATGCGTCACCTCGAGCGCGACGTGCTTGTCGATATCGAAGTATTCCCTGTGGTCGGAACCGCAGTTGCACTCAAATTCGGCCTTGAAGTTTCGAAGCTCGGCATGGATCAGCCTCTCTGCCCGCTTGTATTGCCGGATAGGTCGTTGGTGGGCGTTGAGAGGCTCCAGCTTTCCTCTTTCGCACACTTTGCTGATATCGTTCAATCGCGCTTGAACAGAGTTGCTGGCTATCCCGATCTTGAACAGAAGCTTGTGGTGGCCGCAGTTGACGACAGGACATACATAAATATGTCCCACCTTCCCGACATCTGATGATCCTCTTCCTATAGTGGGGGACTTGAGAAGGTCTCCTATACTGGCGTCAATTTGGTACGGCGACGAATTTCCAGGAGCCTTTCCATCAGAGCTTTTCTTAGTGCCGTGCTGTAAGACGATCGGTGCTGACTGTGTTTCCCGGGGTAAAGGGGGCCTTGAATGCTGCAGAGTCTCGCTCGAGGCATGCGAGTTGGCAGGAGTAACTGGCGCTTGGGAGCCAGCGGCTTCAACTCTTCTCTTTTTCGATGTTGATTTGGCTGACTGGGGTGGCGTAGCTGGCGGTGTTGGAGTACCGTTAGGTGCTGTCTCCTTGCCCATTGGTAAATGTCCGGCCATCGTTGTCTGTTCTTTCATCTGGTGTAGAGGATCCGAGTTCTTCTTCCCTCTTGTAGGGGTCTTTTTCCCCTGCGGGGTTGGTGTTCCTGCAACAGACGACATGGTGGGTTGGGCAGGAAGGCAAGTCGACGAGCCGTATGAGAAAGCTAGGTTAGTATACAGGACACACGCTGCGTGATAAGAGTAAGCGGGCAGAGACGCTCCTTATGAGCTCAGCGAAGGCGCCGAGTCAAGGCATGTGGGAACCAGGGGGTGTCTAGGGATACGCCTTGCGGCCAACTTGGCAGCTGGAGGCCTAGGGGCGCGTACGATTTGAGAAGGCTGGGTAATCTCGTCGGATCTGGACTGCAGATAGCTGAGCCACTGGGCCCCTGCAGATGAGGCCAGACAACTTGGGGGCCCAAAGGGCTCGAGACTGCTCCATCACGAGTTTCCTGCCCACGCTCATGACGAAGATGGATGTCAAATGACACGCGGGTCGGTCGATTTCCTCTGGCTGCCCGTCAATATCTTGAAAAGCGTCTTGAAGAAGAATGGCCTTTCTTATCAAACCACGAGCCTGGTGAAGAGCTACAGGCGCTCTCTCGCTTGTCACGCAAAGGGCTGGGGTTCTTCATCAGGATGGTGTCAGTTCAGGGGGTTGCAGTCTTGCACCAACACACCGTGTGAATTGACATGCAGTTAACGGCCGAGAGCCATGTCACCTGACTTGACGGGGACGACCAGCTCAAACAGGACTAGAGTCTTTGGTCGTCTGGCGAGGTCCCACAAGCCCCCGCTGAACCCTTTCCCAGCCCCACAACGCGCGAAAAGTGACCGTCACCGCCTGTTTCTGCCGCGAATTTTCTCCCATGCCCAGGCCAGAGTTCCTGCCGCTGCTTGCACGTAGAGCTTCCATTGTCCAGTCTCTCACATCTTGTCCATGAAGTAGCACCGATTGTATGCAAAGGACAATATGTCGAAGCGCAAGGCAGCTGAAGAGGCCGAGGCTGTGATAGCCAAGAAACTGGTCATTGAGCCCCTCGATCCCACAGGTTTGTTCAGCCATTGTACCCCTCCATGCCTGCTGCCCACCCACTGACCAACCTCCAGCTCAAGTAGACGATGAAGAGTATGACGATACCACGAGCTACTCGGCCGATACGGCCAAGCCAGAGACGGTCTACACGGCCACAACTGCATTGTCCAACCGCTCTCGCAAGTTCCCCTCCGACTTTAAGACGATCAAGTGCACATATCCCGACTGCGAAAAGACCTTTAACCGGCCTGCCCGCCTCGCCGCTCACCTCCGCTCACATACCGACGACCGCCCTTACAAGTGTACCCACGATGGATGTGACAAGACGTATCGCGAGGAAAAGCATCTGCGACAGCACGTCAAGGGCTCCCACAGCCAGGAGCGTTCCTACGTGTGCACCACCGAGGATTGCGGCAAGTCCTTCCTGACCGCCACCCGCCTGCGCCGTCATCAGGAGGTCCACGCCGGCCAGAACCGCTTCCGCTGCCGCGACTACCCGCCGTGCGACCAGAGCTTCCGCAAGCACAACACGCTGCAGCGTCACATCCGCGCCGAACACCAGGGCGGTCCCGCCTACCTCTGCCCCGAGCAGGGGTGCCACGCCGGCTTCGACTCGCAGGGCGCCCTGCGCAACCACACCAAGCGCGACCACAGCGAGCCGAGCTTCTGGTGCGACGAGTGCGAGCTCGAGGCCGACCCCGGCGGCGACCGGCCCCCGCGGCGCGTGGGCTTCACGAGCCTGCTGCTCCTCCAGACGCACATCCGCAAGGAGCACCTCAACTGCATCTTCTGCGACCAAAAGTGCAAGGGGCAGGCCGAGCTCGAGCGCCACGTCGAGCTCTACCACTCGGGCATCCCGCTCGAGGCCCGCAAGACGATCCCCTGCGCCTGGCCCGGCTGCGACAAAAAGTTCACCAAGAAGAGCAACCTCAACGCCCACGTCCGCTCCGCCCACGAGGGCCTCCGCTTCGTCTGCGGCCAGGCCGAGCACGCCACGACCGCCGACCTCGCCGCCTGGCCGCGCGGGCAGGGCTGCGGCACCGCCTTTGTGACCAAGGGCAACCTCGAGGCCCACATCCGCCACGTCCACCTCGGCATCGAGCGGCCCGTCCCCGCGCCCCTCGCCGACCGCGACGACGACAACCAAGCCGGCACCGCCGCGCACCACAAGCGCAGGCGCACGACCGCGACCGTCATGGACCAGGTCGCCGGCACCGACCGCCCCATCGCCTGCACCATGCCCCACTGCGCCGAGCGCTTCTTCCGCGCCCACGACCTCGACCTCCACCTCGCGCACCACCCGCCCTCGCCGATCGAGGCCGAAGTCCTCCGCCTCGGCACCGAGGCCTCGGCCGACGACACGCCCGCCAAGACCCAGCCCCAGCGCCCGCAGCCGCAGATCGACGTCGCCGACCGCCCCATGCCCGAGCTGCCCTTCCTCGGCGTCAGCCAGGAGATCGTCTACCGCGACGAGGCGGACCCCCTCATCCGCGTGCCGCAGGACGATGACTTTTGGATCGGCGCCGACGACACGTTTGGGCTCGACGCGGCGGCCGTGCCGGGGGCCGGCCAGCAGGACGTGGCGTGGCAGCATGACGAGGCGGCGATGCGGGCGCTGATTGACGAGGACTTTAGCCGCTTTA